GCTGAAGTACTTTAGGTTAGAAAATAGGGTACCTGGCTGAGGAATCTCTATCAGGTTCACTATTGGTATAAAAATGAATTAGAAATTGATAGCCATGGTAATTACTTGTTCATGCCAGTGTTTTGCTGTGTGTCCAGAGATGAGTTCTCTCTGTATCCTGCTGTGTGGAGCAGTGTGGTCACACCACCTTCAGGAATCCTCCAAGGAGACTGTTCAGTGAGGCATTGGGAAGAAATGCTTCTGGAGGGACAGAGCTCGGGTTTGTAGCATGACTTGGAATCTTCCCTCTTTTCACTTGATTGCCAGTTGTTTGTGCAAACACCACCTCCTTCCCAGTGCTAAAATGACCTGTTTGTTGGTTTATGCTGCTCATGGCCCCTCCTGTGTAGGACAGAGTAAACCCTGAGCTTTGTCAGAGCAGCCCTGGGTTGAGAACCCAGATCTGTGCTTGATATTTGAAGATGTATTTTGGAATATAGTTACCTTCTCTTTGTTTATGTTGAGGGGTTGCTTTTTTTTGTTTTGGGAAGGCTTTTTTTCATCTTCTACTCTGTTTCAGAGGATAAATAACTACTTAGAGGTGGTGTAGGTCACTCTGATAATTCTGGGAGGTGATACAAGTTATTCCTTTCTTAAGTAAAATATACTGGAGAAGTAACAGGGAATGATTACCTTGATTTCCTTGTATCTAAAATCAGTTGGTTGTGAAGTGAAGGAAAATCGTATGTGCAAATCTTATTTTAAATACTTACAAAAAGAACTAGTTGTTCTGATCTGTAGAGTTTTCCTTCCCCTGTGACATATCTGTGGTTGTAATTTTGGGGACCAGGCCTCTGGCTGCTGAACCCTGTACATTTATAGCAGTTTTATAGCAAAAGTAAAAAGAAATAATGTACATACAGCAAGTAGGGAGAGGAATAGGTGGAGGAAGATGGTTTAAAGTCACTGAAAGGAACATATTGAACCAAAAGGTTTGGGCTGTTGCCTTCCCCTCTGTTTGGGAGCTGTTGGGAACTGCCCTGCTGAGCTGGCCATGCCTCAGGACATTTGGTGGCTGTTCCTCATCCCTGGCTGGACTCTTGTCCTCTTGACTCAGTCGTGTTTTCAGACTTGTAGGGAAGGGGATAATGGGTACTGGTTTGTATCCTGTGGAACAAAATGCCAGCTGTAAAAAAGAAAAACAAAATGTATGCCAATTCTCTATTATTTTGCATGGCAGGTTCCAGCAGCTGTGCCTGGGAGAGGTGGGAGCTGCAGGGGTGATGGAAGCATGAGGTTGTGTGTTGTTTGGAGAAGGAAATGGCAGTGGCAGGATTAAAATGCTGACACAAAAATCTCTCCCTTTCTGACCCTTTTACCTCCTGTGGTTAAACTCCTAACTGGAGACAGACAAACTGTTCTTCCTTTCTCTTTTCTAAAATAACTTCCCAATTCAGTGAACTTGGTAGCATGAATGTAGCATTGTGGAACTATTGAAAAACTTATTTCACTCCAAAAGGGCCCATTTCTGTATCCACTTCAGTGATTTCTCTGTAGAACTGTTGTATATCTATCCTCATTGACCACTTGTAGAACTAGGGCTGCCAAGTAGGAAGGTAGATTGTACAGTTGCATAACTTGTGTAGGAGGATGTGTGTTTGAATGATCCTTACAGACTGTTTTATTGGTGCAGTTGACTCTAGTTCAGTGTGATGACAAACAATGAATGCTTTTCTCTCTTTTCCAAAGATCTCTATTCCTCATAGTTTGTGATGTTTATGACAAGAGCGTATCCTTTCCTTTGTGGCATTCATTCTGACCTAAGAGATGAAATGCTCTAAAAGCTGTGACTGGAAAGACAACAGAGTTTTTTTGATGTTTAAAGTCCTTTGTGCAAATAGCGTCGTTGAAGTTAAATGTTTCACTTGTGCCCTGGGACAGGACAAGGGGCAATGGATTCAAACTGGAGCCCAGGAAGTTCCACCTGAGCATGAGAAAGAACTTCTTTGCTGTGAGGGTGGCAGAGCCCTGGGACAGGCTGCCCAGAGAGGCTGTGGAGTCTCCTTCTCTGGAGCCTTTCCAGACCTGTCTGGATGCCTTTCTGAGTGACCTGCCCTGGTTTTGGTCCTGCAGGGGGGTTGGACTCGATGATCTCCAGAGGTCCCTTCCAGCCCCAACATTCTGTGATTCATTTCTGAAAGAGGAAAACAAGTTTCTTCCCCTTCTTAACTAGTTGAAATTTTCAAGTGGCTGCTGGGAAAGGAAGGGATCAGCAGAGGGTAGGGTGCAAAAGAAATTAAATAAATTGTAATTACGTAACTTCAGAATTAAAAATAGAGCCTGTGACTTCCTCAGTTGGAGCAGCCTGGGAAGGGTGACCTCTGCTCGCCACCAGCACAGCCAGGATGTCCCTTGCACCTCAGGTGCCTCTGCAGCAACTTCTGCAGGTGCCCCTGAGGACAGGCCCTCGGGATGTGCCCGTAGGAGCTGCAGCTGCTGAGTGCACAGGACAGTTTTTCCTTCCCTTTCTACCTGCTCCTCCCAGCCTGCCACTGCCTGCTCTTGGGCTGTGCCTGCTGAAGCCCTGGGACCAGTTTGTTCTCAGTAATTGCTACCCGAGGTAGTTGGTGGAGCTTAGCTCTGAGGAGGGCAATCAGAGCACCTGAGCTCCTGTCCCACCTGAGCTCCTGTCCCACCTGAGCTCCTGTCCCACCTGAGCTCCTGTCCCACCTGAGCTCCTGTCCCACCTGAGCTCCTGTCCCACCTGAGCTCCTGTCCCACCTGAGCTCCTGTCCCACCTGAGCTCCTGTCCCACCTGAGCTCCTGTCCCACCTGAGCTCCTGTCCCACCTGAGCTCCTGTCCCACCTGAGCTCCTGTCCCACCTGAGCTCCTGTCCCACCTGAGCTCCTGTCCCACCTGAGCTCCTGTCCCACCTGAGCTCCTGTCCCACCTGAGCTCCTGTCCCACCTGAGCTCCTGTCCCACCTGAGCTCCTGTCCCACCTGAGCTCCTGTCCCACCTGAGCTCCTGTCTTTCCTGCTCTGCTGCAGCATCAGCAGCCCTGTCACACCGTGACACCCACCCCCCTAACAGGGACCTGCTGCTGCTGCAGCTCCTGCGGGGTCTGGATTTGCTTTCAGCAAGGGCAGGAAAAGCAGAGGCACCTGGCTAACCCTGGAGAGAAGCAGATTAAACTGGGATGGCTAAACTGGGTGCCAGCCCTGGCTGCTCAACCCAGCCACGTGTGGGAGTTTCTGCTGCTCTTGCTGCGCAGCAGCACTAGAGGTGACCTCTCAGCACCTTGCTTGGCCTGAGGAACATCTGCTGGTTGTGGTACAGCCTCCAGGACAGAAGGGTAGGCAGCAAGTGCATCAGCTCTCCAGTCTGCTGCTCCTCAGCCTGGCTCATGTGCTGGGAGCAGCCCCTGACCATGTTCTCTGCTGCCTGCAGAGGATGTTCACTCAGCTGTAGAGGCCTGGGGGGTTGTCTTCTTGGTTGTAGCATGTGTCTTATACAGGGTTTTCCAGAGAGGCTTTCCTCTCTTCTTCGTGTTTGGCTGGGAAGAAGAGGGAAGAAGAAAATTCCAAGTTGCAATAAGTAGAAAATGGAGATAAAGCTCTTTGCACCTCTCCTCGTGCTGCAGCCACCAACTTCCCTTTGCAGCGTGACTGCCAGGCCGGGGACGGGAAATGGATGAGTGAGCAGATAATCCTTTCCTGGAAACAAAACAAAACCAGAAAAATCCTTGTAGCTCCAGCAAAACATCTGACTGCAAAAGGCAACCAGCCCACTCAGCCAGCCCCGTGTGAGGACCCTGCTGTGCACACCTGTGGGATCCCACCTGCTTCTGCCTCCGAGTGCCTCTAGAGCTGCCTCAGCCATGTCCCACGACCCATGGGGACCTCTGCTCTGCCAAAGGGACTCTGGAAATGAGTTTCTTCTTCGATTCTCAGCCTGGACTTGTTGCCTGGAGCTCAGCATGGGTTTCCTGCTCCAGGGGCTTCAGGAGTGTGTGTGTATGTGTGTTCACATCATCTCTTCACACGCAGGCTCTTTCCCGTGGTCTGGGGAAGATGCTCCCTCTCGACTGCTGGCGCTTGCTTTGCCATGTGCAGCAGAGGGTGAGGCAGTGTTCCTGCTGCTGTCCGTGCTGTGTTACCATCTCTCCAGCTCCTGGCACGTGTCCATCTCACCAACACCTGCTGCTGTTTCGGGATGTGACTGTGTCAGTGACCTGTGGCTGGGAGTTCCTGTTCCCAAGGCCCTGCTGGCAGGACGGCTGCCAACGTGGCTCTGTCACCTTCAGGCGACAGCAGTGGGGTTAGTTGAAAGAATGGAAAATGCTGACTTAAAATAGCCAGCCTGGCAGGATCTGGAAGTGGGAGTGTGTCCTTCATCCCGGCCCAGACAGGAGGTGGGACAACAGGCTCTCTCTTCTCTCTTGGTGTAAGTGTAAACATGCAACCCATCCAGGCCCTGTTTGAGTCACACACATTGTTGGTGTACTGGTGCAGGGTAAGGCACGTTACTGTAGGATTAGAAAAGTCCTTTCAGAATTCCTTTTCCTTCCTTGTCAATTGGCACGTGTTGCTGGATCTGAGCACCAGAGGGTGTGCTGGGCTGTGTGTGTCCTGGCTCCAGCGATGGGGCCAGGACAGGGATTTGCAGGTACATGTAGAGCTAGATCACTCTGTACTCTGGGCTTTGCCCTGCACCTCTGGAGCTGAGGGCCTGGGCAGCCCCTCCTGAGAGATGCCCCCCAGATGTCCTTGGTGGGGACAGGGAGCAGCAATAGCACTTCCCACACCATCTGTAAAACATTGTTTGTGATCCTGTGTTTTGTCCCACTGATCACAGAGTATCCTTGGCTTTCTGCATCTTCCGTGGGAGTGTTTTTTAATTCTCAGTTGTGGAAACACAAGCCAAAGTCAACTGGAAACTGTTACAGTCCTGATGATGAGTCTGCCTGCTAATAATACCGTGTACTTGAGCTGAGGGAGTGAATGGGTGGCTTAGTGACCATGAACCTGGCTGTGATCATTGTCACTCCCAGGTAATCCTGCTGTGTAATCAGCTCAATTAATACCAAGATACCAGAGTTTGCTGCCTCTCCTGAGGTGCCAGTTCACAATCTCATGTTGAGCTTGTGCAGGAGCTACCACAGTGACAGGAGCTGGTGGCTGCTTTGACTCAGAAATGAAATCAGCCCAACCTACTGCTGATCAGTGGGGAAAACTTTCAGACTGGAAGGAATAAATGTTACGGACATTTAAGAATCCCATTTAAGATTCCCATTTAATGAAGGGAAGCTAAGTTGTATTTTTCCATAAATGTTTGTTAAATTTTAAAAAAACTAATACAGCCTCATAATTTTTCACATCATTGTATTTGCTTTTAGAGCATCTTTTAGGTTGGCACACTTCAGAATAGGTAAGACCCATCTAGGGCTGGTGTACATGCTGTGGTGGGGGGCAGGCTGTATTTAGTTAATTAACTGGGCACTCCAGCCTTTATCCTTGTCTCCTAAATGAACTTGTGATTAGTCACAACAGTGCAGACCCTATAGCCCTTCAGCAAGAGGAGTCTCTCCACTGGCCTTGCTCAGCCTCAAGAAAGGGAACGTGTTCATAGAGACCCTGAGCAGCTGATGGAACTCAAATCCATCTGGAGTGGCCCCTCCTGTGATTCCCCCTGTGTGGGAGCAGTGACCTGTGGGCACAGCCCCTGCTGTCCCTGGGTGTCCCAGTGGCATTTTCCTCCCAGGGTCACACTGTTCTCTGGCTCAGGACCAGCACAGATGCACATTGCTGATACTAAAAAAGTATAAGGTTATTAGATTATTACTCTTTTTAAAATGATTTCTTTAGTGCTAAGATTCAGTTGCAGTGATATAGTCCCCATGACAAGGTCAGAGCTGATGCAGAGCAGGGAATTCAAGGCGAGGTGTCCTTGTCCTTATATTTGAAATGCTCTAAAGTCATCACAGATAAGTACAGCCAAGCACAGTCCTTTGAGCATGGACCCTGCTCCCCTGTGCTGGCTGTGCCCCCTGTAAATGAGACATTATTTTGCTGAGTGTGAAGATGGGGATGACTGCAGAAACTGAACAAGTTTGGTGTCCCCCATCCCAGGAAGCCAGGCTGGAATTGTACCCGAGTGAGCAAGAAGGGGCTGTAGTTTTTCTGCTGTATGTTTCTTGTTCTTTTGCAAAACTATTCCTGGAACTGGGTGGCTGCAGTTGCAATGCCAAACAACAGCAGAAGCTGGGAGTCTGTGCTTTTTGGATCTTTACTGCTTCCCCTGGGAGTTCAGACACGTTTCCAGCTCCTTTGCTCAGCTGTGAGCCCTCCCTTGCTTCTGCAGAGCCACTAGTGAGAGGGGACCAGGTTTCTGAAAAAAACCACAAACCCAAACACATGAGTAACAAGTGGAAAAGGTGCTGTTGCAGGTTTGGAAACAGATCTGGTGAAGTGCAGGACAGGTTATATCCTGGAGTGCTCCTAAACTCTGAGACACTTCAGTTACTTCCATGCAAATGAGAGAAATAACCACAGTTGTCAAAATAATGGGGGTAAAAACCCCAAACCACCCAAGTGTGAATAGTAATGGATCATTTGACACAGCATGTGAAGATAAAGCCCTGTGGGGTCTGTTTCTGCCTTTGCTCTCAGAGGGAGCTGACAGCATCCTGCTCCTTTCCAATCCAAACACAACTGCAGGGTGACACGTCTGCTCAGTGAGGCTGGATCCACATGTGTGTGTCCCAGCTCTCGGGCCCCTCTGCTGCTCATCTCATCCCAGCAGGAAGCTGAAGGCAGAACTGGTGGGTAAGGAGCCTGAAATATTGGTGCCAAGAGAGCCTCTGGGTTAGAGAGCCCAACCTGAGACATGCTGGGGCCACAACTGTCTGAAAGTTATCTGAGAGTTTTGTAGATGGTCAACTCCAAGGCCTTGGTGGGCCCTGGGCCAGCAGGCTGGCTCCTTGGAAAAGGCAGAAGGAAGTTTCTCCAAAGCACCATCCCCCCTGGTTTCTGAGGTGGTTTCTGGCTGGCTGCCTGCTGCCCAGGATGGGGCAAACATGGCCACTATGCTGGAGACATCTGCCATCATCTGCTGCCTCTGTGAAGATGTTCCTCAGACTATCTGCTGCTTCGTGTATGATAACCAGGTTTCCAATTAATGAATGTTTCTAGGTTTTAAGATGTGATTTAATAAATAGAGATGTTTCTGGGAAAGCAGAAAGCGTTTGGGTTTTGTGTTTAGTTTCTGGCTGAGCTCATAGACCCAGGAACTGGCACTTGGCAGCTGCTTTGCTGTGCTGGCAGGAGAGGGAACAGGCACCCGAGCTCTGGGCGGCAGCAGTGAGGGGAGACAGTGAGAACTGGAGAGCAGAGCTCCAGAGGTGCAGCTAAAAGAGGAGGAAGGTAAAAACTCCTGATGCCTTAGAAAAGGGAGCACCTGAGAGGTGCAAACCGAGTGTCAGGGACAGTGCAGTGTCTGCAGCTCGGGGAGGATGGGCTGGAGGGCTGAGGAGCTCATGGAGCAGCAGGCACTGGAAGGACCAGCCCTGAGCACCATCCTTGGCACTGAGAAACATCCCTGGGGAAATCCAAGGGAGGTCAAAGGCCTGGTAACCCCTCTGGGGAAAACAGACCAGCTCCAAAATAAAGCACACCCCCAGGAGGGCAGAAAGCATCGAGTTGCCATAAGCCCCCCCTTTTTTTTTTTTGGTCACAGGTCTAATTGACTTAATTGCCAAAGTAAGCAGGTCTGGCTTGAACTCCCAGCTGGAATTTTCCCCTTTCCCTCCCTGCTGACACCTGCACGTTCATCTTCTGTTCAGTGTGGTAACTACAGCTCCTCAGAGCAGAGGCAGAGAAAAACAGGTTGGACTATTTTGTCATTGAAGGCATTTTTTCTTCAGTGCTGGGGTCTCTCAGCCTTCATTTTTGCATCCTCCTTGTTTGGAGACATCCTTCTCCATGTGCCACCACCCCAGCAGGGTCCTATCCAGTCTGAGAGATGACAGAAATCATTCTAATCTCTTACCACCTACTGCACAGCCAGCTTCTGGGCAGAGACCTGGCCACGCTTCTCCCTAAGACTTTTGCAGCATCATTGGTGCTCAGAGTTCCAGTTGGCCAGACCTTCTTTATTCTTTATCCTGGAACCATCCTGTGTTGGCACCATCCTGTTTTTACAACAGCATCGTAGGGCACAAAGTAAAATTTGCTGCAGAAGCCCAGTTACAGCAGATTATTTTTACCTACTGCCTTCTTCTCTCTCCCTTCGTGCTCTGCTGGTGTGAGGACACAAACCCAGAGTGGAGCTGTGCAGGGGAAGTTTTGCTCTGCCCTATACAAGGATGAGGAACTGAGATGGCTCATGGGGGTTTCATGTGGAATCACATGCCTCTGAGTCCTGCTGGATCCTGCTCTCTCCTGTCCCCTTGTCACTGGCAGTACTTGGGCTGTCCCAGCAGGTCCTCCAGTGCCAGCCCTGCCTCCCTCATGAGCAGTGGTGCCACTTCTGGCACTGTAAGGGGAACATCCCATGGCCGGCTCCACAGCCACACCAGCTGTGCTGGGACACCAGGAGCTCCTGCTCTGCCACCACACCCTCTGGGCCTGGTGAGTGAGCAGTCGGTTTTGTGCCAAAATATGGGCACTTGAGTGGGATTCCCAGGAGGCTCTGAGGAGCAACACTCGCACTGCTCTGGGTGTAAATACAGCCACACAGGCAGTTAGCTCCAAAGTGCTCACGTGCCAAGTTCCACTGTCCAGTCCTTAACGCTGTTCCACTGACTCAGCCTAGGAAAGAAAAGAGCTGACAAAAGTGAAAGAAGGCTCTCAAATCTTGACTGACAGGGGAGGAGATGAATAATGGCTGGATTTATTTTTTTTTGTCATGAAGGCAGGCGGGTTTGCAGCAGAACTGGCAGATGTCAAGTTCAATCCCCACCAAGTGAAGTGTTTTCTTTGCACCAGGTGCAGATAAACTGTGGGATTCATTATTTCAGGATTTATGGGCTTTACACAGGCTCAAAAGCCAACCAGACAAGACCACTAAAGAGAAATCCATTGAGATCCACAGAGTACAAAAGGACATTGTTGGGTCTGTACGTGCCTGAGCCGTGAGTCACCAGAGGCTGGGAAATGTCACTGCCCGCTGGTCTTTGTCCTCAACCCCCGGGCCCTGGATGGTGCATCCCGGATCTGTGCTTTGGACAAGTACTTTGGGTCATGTATAAACCTTAAATCACCCTTATTTTATTGAAGCTAGATGGCAAAGTGCTGCCTCCTTTCCACAACTTCCCTAAACATGTTTGCCCAGGGAAGCTGTGGCTGCCCCATCCCTGGCAGTGTTGAAGGGCAGGTTGGATGGGGCTTGGAGCAGCCTGGGCTACTGGGAGGTGTCCCTGCCCATGCAGGGGGTTGGATCTAGATGATCTTTAAGGCTCCTTCCAGCCCAAATGATTCTATGATCCTATGTAGCTCTGGCTTCCAGCTGGGCAGCTCCTCGGGGCACACAGCACATCTGGGCATTCCACGGCTCCAGGCACACTGGGCAGCTCTGGCAACAAAACACCACTTCCAGTAGTATCAACTCCACCTATCATTTGAAGAAGGTGTAATTGCTCTCTTGATATGGCTCAGGAGTGCAAAGGTAAGAGCTTTATCAGCAGGATATGATGCTCCTTCCCGCAAACACTCCTGTGCTTCCAGAGCGGGGTGAAGGCCCTGGAGCAGCCCAGGGTTGGGGAGCAGCTCCCGGGCAGGCTGGGGCCACCCCAGCTTCTGGCCAAAGGTTATTTACACCCCGGGGTGCGTGCCATGTCTCCGGGCCCGAGGAATTTGGAGGGCGGGGAAAGCCCTGATCTATCGTGTGATTGTTTCCCGATTGCTCAGCCTTCCCAGAGGAACCTGCGGGCCGTCGGTAACAGGCCCTGCCTGGGAACAATCCCGGGGAGGCTCCTTTCCCTGCGCTTCTGTGCCCAACAGGGCAGGGAAAACCCTTCCCTGCTGTGCTGCGCGCCCTGGAAACCCCCGCGTGGTGCCCCGGGCAGGGCCCCCCTCCCTGCCCGGGCCTGTTCCTCACCCCCCAGGGCCGCTGCTGCCCAGAGCCGCCCTCCCCCAGCCCGCGCTGGGCGGCCCTTGCGGGGCTCCCTTCCTCCGGGAAGCAGGGCTGGGGGGGCGAGAGCAGGGGAGGGTTTAAAGCCGGGGTCGGTTTCTGTGGCTCTGGGCAGCTCGGAGAGACCCCCGAGGGTGCGGGGAGCGCGGGTCACTGGGCCGCTCGGCTCTCCCGGGCCAGGCCCAGAGCAGCCCGGGCTGTGATGGCGGCGGCCCCGCCCCGGGGCCGGGCCG